TGCCAGAAGTCCTCAAAGATCCATGCCAGGGGCTGAGCTATGACGCTTACCAGCTCCTTGAGTACCCTGGGATGTAGATTGTCAGAGCCAGCTGACTTGACAATTGTCAGTTGTCCTATCTGGTTCAGCAGGTGTCCAATGTTGCCCTTGCTTTTCCTCTGGCTCCCCACATATCTAAAAAAGGACTTTTATTGTCCTTGATGCTCAAAGCTAGTTGGAGTTCAGTTGCAGCCTTGGCTTTCCTGGTTTGCTCCCTGCAGGACCGGACCAGTGCAGAATAATCCTCCTTGGAGGTGAATCCCATCCTCCATCCTTTGTAGGCCTTTCTTTTTAGCCTCAGGAAGTCTGCTAGATCCCTGGAGAGCCAGGGGGGCTGCTGTGCCCTCTTGCTGTCTTTCCTTCAATATTAAGAGAGTAATAGATATTACACTTACTAATACAGAGATATCAATGAAATCTTTACTAAAAAGAAATTAGAGATGCCATGATACTTAATTTAATGGAGAAATAAAAGCCAACCAATTATCAAAAGAACACAATTTGGGTGTAGGACAGGTTGTTTCTTGCTCCCACACAATTCTCAGAAAATATTGTTCCTTCAGTCTAATTAAGGTTGGGGAGACTATTATAAAGACAAAAGAGGAGAGACACTCCTCTGCCTGGAAATGAAGAAGGGAATTTGGAAATATAATTATGCTTTTTCCTCCTATTATTATTATTATTTTTATTATTTTCATAACTGGCTAATCTACTGAAGACTTACTCTGAGGGCCGGGCTATAACTAGTGTACAGTATTGACTGATGGATCCTAGGGATGTAAATATTATTTAAAAAAATATTCATTTAACCTTTTCTAATTATATCAGTTAAATGACTAACCAATATCATAGCTGCTGCTGGGAGCCAGTCTGGGCTCCTGGGGCCATCTGACTGGGGGAGTGGGGGGCAGGAGGCCAGCTCAATCAGACAACATAGCCCACATGAAGGCCCTCTGGGAGGGAGGGAGTACATGTGAATGAGCAGCTAACTGCTTAACTGATGAGTCTCTAGGCTGCTCCCTGTTTTCCTCTTAGGCTATGGGTACTAGTTCCCCTTGCCCTTCCTGCTCACCCTGCTGCCTTCCAATTCCTGATGGGGCACTGTGCAGATTCCCTTACCCTCTTCCCCTGCCAGACTGCACCTGACCCTAGCTGAAGGATAACCAGTAAGCTAACTGGTTATTACTGCACTTATTGGTTAAATGATTAACCTTTCAAATCCCTAATGAACACCAGACCACTTGGGAAGCTCAATGCAAGCAGTCTAATAAACAAACAACAAAAACAGACAAATGGTTTAGGAGTAACCATACTATGTGAAAGTCAATTTTCTGATACCACATATACCACATACATGAATATTGGATATATGCATTATTTGCTTAATTATGCTTAATTATTTGCTTTTAAACTACTATTTAGATTCTAAAAAATACCAGCTTTCTACATGAGCTAAGTGCATTAATTGCTTAAGTGCACAGGAACTTGTTGGCCCCCCTATCAGGAACTTGTTGGCCCCCCCTATAACGTAACTGAGCTCCATTTACCATATTTACTTTAAGGCCACATGTACCTTTCCCCAAAAATTAGCCCTCTAAAATTACAGTGCCTGTCTTAAATAGGTGGGCTGATTTTAATTTTCTGCGATAGAAATACAGATGAATACAAGAGCAATCTGCTTAATTCTGGCTACCAAGATGGCTGCCACTTGCTTCTGGCTCCAATAAGCAGACAGGGTGGAGTCCTTTGTTGACGCTGTCACAGCCATAGCTATTGGTTGAGCATTGTAGCTTGTGTCTGAAACTGAGCTGGCTCAGTGCAAGTAGGCTGCTGCATGCAGTCTATAGTATGACAATGAGGCTTACAGTGTATACGTAGTACTTTACTATTTGCAGGAACTTATATAAAGAACTAATTAAAATAAAGAAACCTTTGTTACTGCCATTGCAAGGGTCTGGGGCCTAAGCTTTGTTACTGTCCTGCTGCACTAGAAAGTTCCTGCTGCCTCATTCAGACTGTCTTCTGGGATGCCACACTTCCTGGACACACAGTTTTTCCAGTCTATTACACAGCCAGTCAAGCATTTGGAAGAATTTTTTTCTATGTTCTGTCTTCCAAAAACATGCCTTATTTGGTGACATGACTTATTTGAGGGGGAGAGGGGTGAGACATGAAAATATGGTAACTGTATAATTAATTTAATTGATTGGGACCTGTCACTGTCTAGGCTGCTATTAGAGACGTAAGGGGCTAAAACCGAGGTAACAAGTCTTAAGTGGGAAAAAGTTTGGCTCACATTCCTGCAGTTAATGAAAACAGCTTACAATAAGCCATTTTCTGTTCTGAGCACCTAAATAATGTTCATGGTACTTTTAATAAAAAAAATTCAATTTTGTACAAAGGTTATGCATATTAAAGATCTTCCATAGGCACCAATTAAGAAATTAAACATTATAGGAGTAAAGAATAAAAATTAAAAACTATTATCATATCATAGATTCTATAAATCTGAATTAATGCGGTTGAACAAACCCAGTTCCTTTCTAACATATTTGATGGTAGGCAACAGGTATGTGAAGGAGTTCTTCAAATCGCCTAGAAAAAAGTATACCATGATAAACAAATAATTGTCTATACCTATTTAAATTTCCTCCATCCCAGTGCATATGGGGCCAGATTTTCAGCTAATACACATGGAAGTCCATGTGCCTAGACTTATAACAGCTGACAATATGGCCTTTCAGCATACTTTACATACAGAGGAACTGCTTTACTCAACATTGAAATGCAGTTATATCTGGAGCTTCAGCAGCTTAGAGCAACTGTACAAAACAATTCAACAGCCATCAGTAATAGCTCCTTTCACTTGCTCCATCTAAAGCAGTGAACTCCATTAAGAAAATTGTACAAGGGAAACTAAATGCTCTTTTACTCAACTGAGTAAGAGTTCAAAATCCACAAGACAAAACATTTTTTCTATGCATGAGACAAATCCGACTATCATTATTGTAATTATGATTGATATTTGAGCCTGATTCAATGGGCAGTCATTTTACACAAGATACCTGTGGAAGCAACACTACACATGGGACACAACTACAGATATCCAGCAACAGTGAACCATATTATGATGATCTATGTATAATAAAGAACATGGAAAAGATGGTAAGTAAAAAAGACAGGAAAGCTGGGGGAGAGAAGAAAAGAGTGCTAGGCTGTCCTCTTTCCAAAGCTTGAGAAATCTGACTGAAGATACATTTGGAGTATCACTGGATATCAAAAATGACTCCGAGTTCCTTTCATGAGAATGTAATTCAACAACAACAAGGGTGAGTAACTAGAAAACCAAAAACCAGATTTTTTTTTCATTTAACCAACCTTTAGCTGGTGAGAATGGTTGAGAAGCAAGAGGATCAGAGCAAAGTTCTAATGGAAACTGTAGCTGCTCTTCATTGTCTGTAGAAGCTTAAACAAAAAAAAAAACCAACCACACAAGCACATTAAACAGATAATTTTTCAAAAATATAAAAGTTTTGCCCATATAAATATGAACTACAGATGTAATGGAATAAGAACTGACCAGTACATTTACTCAGCATGAACACATCACAATGTATGCTGCGTGTAGATAAACAGTTAAATGTTTGCTAATACAGCTGCAAAATGCCTGAATACTGTAGAATCTGAATTCTACTCAACAGGCCTTGATTTAGAAGTATTTTAGAGAAAAGACCTTTAAAATCAACCTCTGCATTTTAGGTCTCCCTCAACTCAGTTAACAACCCAAGGTAAATTTTCCATATATTTTTCTACAACATATCCTTACTTATTCCAGATTTAACATGTGAAAGAAGGGGGGATGATCAGCTTGGATACTTAAGTCCACTATCCACATGAAACAAATATTAGATGTAGAAGCAAGCCTTATGAGTGAGGTTAATGTATGGCTGAGAAGAGCCATTTACAGGGTTGAAAAGACTGTTCTATCTTTAAATGGAGTCCATTTATTTATTTTGTTGATAGGAACACAAGTATAGCAATTATCCTTCAATACTAGAAGCCAGACTGCATGCATCATCATATTTCACAGAAGCTCCTGAGAAGGAAATGGCTTTCTATTATTATTATTGAACTGTACTAGTGTTAGAAACATACTTCTTTGTAGCTCAGTATAAACTGCCAATTCCCACCATTAGCTGTTTAGATCCTAGCTAAATACCTACAGAATATACATTCTTCTCCATCTTAGGATGGTACTCTGTTGGCAAATTCATATACTCGCACTATCAATCTTTTCCATTCTCTCCAGTATGTTGTATGCATCGATTTCCAAAAAACTTAACTTATGTGAGTACTATAATTAATTTTCTAAACCTTTGAGACAAAGAAAAATGTTGCAGATTATGAGATAAGCACAAACGTTCTGTGACAATAACAATCTGTTTTTCAAAATATAGTGAAAGCAGAAAAATATGACAGCCTACAGGGTATAGGTATACTATTCATACTTTAGATTTAATTTAAAAAGTATCAGAAAAACCAACACGTTGAATATAAAAGGGCAAGAATTCTGTTTCACATAATACTAAACCTGTTGGTTATAAGGAATCCTCCAGTGAAGATCTAGGTTGTTTAACTGAAATTAAGCAGTAATATAATTTGCTGCATAAAGTAAATTTCTTTCCAGAGAAATTATTATAAAAAAAAATCGATTAACTTCAAATCTCTCAAAATGTTTACCTCTCTGCAATGATTTTTCTGCAGGGACTTTGCTGGTTTGTAAAGCTTGATTTTTGTCAAATGTTATTGCAACTGCTGTGACAGCGACCTGCAATCATAAACACATAGCACACAGGTTTAATGTAAAATCTCTCTTGAACTGTCTTCCAAAATGTTGCAAGGATTAAGGTTCTACACTGAGGAAAATTTAATACCATGGAGATACTAAAAGTATATTGAAGCTTTTCTGATTTTTCTTATTTCAGCACATATATTCTTTATAAAACTGTACTCTAAGGTATGGGTAGGCAACCGCTGGCATGCAAAGGCATTTTGCTTGGCACTCGCATCTCAGGGAAGGGGCCGGCGCACTGCCCAAAAACGTTGCCAACCCCTATTCTCCTGGAGCACCTCATGTATCAGTGCTGCCCCTGTGCTTCAAAATGGTGGCAGGGGCAATACATGAGACATGGGAAGCTGTTGGAGCACAGTAACTGTCACGTTCCAGCAGACTTGATTAATTGAGTCTGCTCTGATGTGCTGGAATTATAGCGTGTCAGAGTAGCCACTAAATTAGAGTAATTTATTAGTTATCAAAATTATAATTAGTGATACAATGATGAAATATAGCAGATAAGCACAACTTTCAACAGTAAAGATCATTAGAGAACTGAGATTTATTGTGCAATGCAACCTAACAGTACTTTAGGTAAGCTTATGATTTTGTTCACAAAACGTTCTTTAACTAGATTTTAAAAGTACTGTAATAAATCTTTTGCCTCCAAGTTGCAAAGCATCTTGTAGCATCAGTTAATTAAACTTCATGGTACTTTGTAAGATAGGGAAGATAGATACATGGAGATCTTTTCACTGACTGGAGAAATTAAGTCACACTTTCTGTTGTCAACAGAAGCTGAAGAACAGTTCATAGCAGCAAAGTACACAATTCTTTCAAAAGCAATGAGGATGTACATTGGATTAATTTGCGACAGCGTGAAAATTTAGGTAACTGTAACAAAGTTATCAGAATAAGAATTTAGCAAGGACATAGCCCTATTTTTATAGTACATGCCATGGGATCTCTCATGGTTTTTATTTCAGACTTTCAGTTTCCAACCCTGTATGAAAGATGGCATTCCAGCATCCCCTAATGCCTCCTTGTACTGTAGTTCTTAGAATCAGAGGAGGAAGAATTACTAAATCAACGCAGTTCTTTAACCCTCCATAAACATAATAGTGACTCAATCTAGCTTAGTTCATTTCACAAGAAATAATGTAATCAGAACAAAAGGGCAAAGCTACAAACATTACAGGCAAACAAAGTTAGTTACCTGAATTAATTCATCCTCTGGAAGAGCAACAGTGAAATTTACGTGGCAAAGGCAGCAGGGTATCATGGAACGTAGTTTAAAATACAGACTCTGTTGAATGTGAGACATGATTTGTGTTATTCTATATTACTGTTATAGTTATCACTAATTTATTTTGGAGACAAAAGACCGAATTCCATTTTTGGAATTAAAAAAATCATTTCTCTAATAATTTCTTTTAAAACAATTAGTGAGATATAAACAGTTATGATTAAGTTTAGTGCATTCTGCTGCAACAGCTTTAACACTGCTGCTTCTGTAATAATCTGAGACAAAGAGCAGATTCTTACTTCATGAGTCTTGGAAATTGTTAGTATTATAGTCAGCATTTTTAATATTTTGAGAGATGCATACAAATTAGATATACAAAATAAACCAAATCTAATTGTATGAAATAATCCTAAACAGACTTCAAAATGTTGTTACACTTAAGTTTAATTGCACTTGCGTTTAAATGAATTCATATGCTGTAATACTCTGTTTCTTGTATGTCATTAATTTTCATGATACCACTGTTTAAATAAAAACATATTTCTAAAAAGTAGGATTCCTACCTTAAGCAGATTCTCACAGAGATCATTAAAGTTCTTGTTAAGCGTTTGATTTGTTAGGGTAATGTTGCTTAATCTGGATACTCTTACCGATGTGAACATCTGAAGCAGAAAGTTAACAAACTTGCCTTAAATTTTCCTCAATTTTACATTTAAATGTTGCAACAGGAATAAAGCAAATGATTATAAACTGATTGTAGTCATGATTAAGACAAGGAAAGAAAAAACTAAGGCCTATGGCCAAATACTGAAGGGAAGTGCTTATCTTTTATATAAATTTACAAAGAAAAGGAAGTGTCCAAGAAAACTGTGGTAAGTGTGTATAAGTATATGAAAAAAAAAAAAATCAAGGGTGAAGTAGTGTTGTGGGAGAAGCCACGCCACTTTGTATGTACAGATAAATGATGTGTTCAAATTCATCTGAGCTATAAAATCTAAGTTCTTACCATCTGAACTCAATCTTATACACCAGTTCACAATCCCAATATAAATACTTATGTATGCTGATGCAACACTATTACCTTAAAAAGGAGTTGCACAGATATAGTTAGGTGGGCCTTCTAAGACAGGGGTGACCAAGAAAGGGCTTGTAGGCTGGCTCCAGCTCATGGAGACATGTCATTTGGCCTGTGGGGCTCCCCATGAATCCAGAAATCTGTCAGCGTGGCAAATGTTGGCAGCATTAACTGCACCTGGAAGTGTGGCAATTAATGCTGTCCCTACTCTTCCTGATGCCAAATTTCCAGACACGTAAGGGGCCCTGTGAGTCAGATTCAAAGCATGGAGCTGTGTCATCTGGGCCACAGACCTGTCTGCAGGGCCAGAAATTTGGTGGCTGGAGGAGTGGCAGCTGCTGTGGCTCTGAGTCACAGCAATTAATATTGCTGTCACCATATTCCAGCCCCGCAGACCAGATGAGACAGTCCCATACTCTGGCACTGGCCTGTGGAACCAAATTAGCTGGAGATCACTGCTCTAAAACAGCTCTGTTGATGCAGTTGATGTGTCCCTATTTTTAAAATTCTCTCCAAAACCCAACAACACTAAAACTTGGCAAAACTTATTTTTACATTGTAGTGTTCAGTTATATCTGCTAAAACAGCATAATGATATAAACTGTCAACAGTATAATTGGATAGTGTGCACGTGCATATATGTGGTGTGCATGCATGTGAAGAGCAACTTTACCTGTATTTCAGGCGTCCAGTTATTTATACCAGGCATAATTTCTGTGTTACAACTATAAAAACCTGTTAAGGAAAATATTTACATAGTTATAAAGAATTCTATAAAAATGAAGAAGTACTGATTTTTGAAATAGCTAAATTTAACCTCCCTGATACTTTTACAAACATTGCTTTTCATAAATTTATCAATATCCAGCAATACTACAGGAACACACCAGACTAGTATTCAAAAAAAAAAGTGTTGCATATAAACATACATTTCCTGCAACCAACGCAGAAGCAAAAAATAAAACATCTGTAAATATAAAAATTCTTAGAAGCTCCATTTTTATGTTATTTGTGTTATAAATTATTTTTCAATCAGTCAGACAAAACCTGCAAATAAAGCACTGTGATAAAACAATCCTTAAAATGAGGAATTTCCTTTTAATCATTTGACAGGCAGACATCAATTTCTATTTAATTTATATGCATCTTAAATCTATTACATTTACTGTAATTATTAATGTAGGCATAGTTATTAATATAGTCATAGACTAAGTGGCAATAATGTTAAATAAAATAAATCTCCTTAGAATTCTTGCAATATAATAGGGTTTTTACTAACTAGCTAACAGTAGTAGTAATCTTCTCCTTTTTCTGATTTGAACTGTATCATTGACCTTCCAGGCAAATGACAAAACAGGTTATAAGGTATTCTGCAGTAATTTGCTCTCAACATTTCCCATTGATGCTGTTTCACTTTGCATGAAATATGTGAATATGCACTTGAGCAGTGGCTGAAGCCAGATGAGTGCTATAACCATTAAGCATATATATAACAATATATCTGTATATAGATACAGCTGTATATCTGTATATATCAAGCATCTCTCTCTTTCTCAACTATATATGTGTGTGTGTGTATACATCAAGCACATATATATAGCAGAAGAGCATTAATAGCAGAGTTTGAGGGGAAACCACCCTAGAATAACTCCAGCTCAGTGGTTACAACATGGAGAGGTGGGAGACTTGTTCAAATACTTTCCTGAATAAGACAGAAAGTGTATTTGAACCTAGGGCACTCCCTTGGAAGGTTGGGGAAACCCAGCCACTAAACTGCAGCATATTCAGGGGTGAGTCCTCTTGACTGTCTCCTGGGAACAACTATTCCATGGGATAATGGGCAACAGAGAAAAACCTCAAGTTTGTTAAAGGCTCCTCTGTCTTTCCCCCTCTCTTCCCCCAAAAGTCTTCTAAACAAAATTATTTGCCAAATTAAAACCAAATTCATAATTTTAGGGCAACTGGAAGAACATTTTTGACAAATTAGTTATTGCCAAAAATGTGTAATAAAACTATAGACCACTAACTGCATTCTCCTATGAAGTTCTAGCATCCATTCCACTATGCTTTCAATGTTCATTTTCTATCACAATGAAAAATATATCTATTTAAATCTAGCATCTACTAAATTCTGAAAGTCTAAGTCTCCTAACTGATTCTTAGTTTTTATATGTTGTAAGTCCTTGTGAGTCTGTAAAATATTGAAGAGATTACAAACTACTCTGCTTGCTAACATCTATCACCTCAATGCAGGTAACAAATACTGTAAAGTCCCTGACCTTGATCTGGCCCTTGGAACCACTCCATCCAGCCAATATGGCCCTGCCATTGAATCTGGAGCTAATGGGCCCCAGTGGCCATATCTGTCAGCAGCAGGGAGCCAACTAAGACTGTGCTGATGCAGTCCTTCTTGCCCCCCAGCTGGTTGACTCATCTCCACCATAGCAAACAGCAGCTTGCCCCACCAAGGAGCCCTGCAATTTGGACCCAGTCCAGGATAGGAGGCGAGTTTGACATTAAGGGTGCCTAAAGATTAATCAGATCTGTTGGAGCGCTTTAATCAGAATGCTCCAGCATGCTGCAGCATCTCAACAACTTCTCATGTATTCAGCATCCCATGTTTCAAACTGGTGGTGGGGGTACTTTAACTAAAGCTCACCGAGCTCCAAAGAGCTGCTCTAATTACACTGTCCCCCCCACCCCTCCTCCACTCCCCTGGGATCACATGTATAGGCAGCCTAAGTAAGTAGCATTCCTGCTTCCTGCCCTCTTACAGAGGATGAGGGACTATCAGAGCTTGCTTCTGCTCACTAAAAGAAACATAATTTTGTATTTTCAGTGAAGCTTTTACATTGGGTATCCAGAATTTAATAGTCTGGAGATACCATTTCATGAGTTGAAAAGACCTAAAAAATGTTGAACCCAACTGCCATACTGAATTTCTACTAATGGTACAAACAAATGACCAGCAAGCAGCACAGTACTACTCAAGAATTTCCCTTGCCTAAAGTTTCAGGCAACAGTGATTCCCAAAATAGATTAACGGTATACAAACTGCTTTTTGAATTTTGTTCCAAGCTAATATAATACTGCAGACCTTTTCCCCCCTCCGGCTCTGAGCTTTAGGATCTTGTACAATTCTATTTTATCTAGTATATGGTGAAACTGATTACCAGTAGTTTATAATCACATAGGGTGAAATGTTTTAAAGCTACCTGGAGGTGGTGGAGCATCTGTCAATAAAGAATGTACATCTTCCATTGCATCTGTATCATCAATCTGAAAAAATAAATCATAGTATACTAAACTCTTCCTATCCATTTGTTGCAACAGGTAGTGTCAGTAAGACAGAAGTATTGCAACTGGATTATTACTAAATAAAAAACCCCCAGATTTTAATATTTGGTTTAAACAGTTATCAATGGCTTAGCATCTAGTTGGGAGGAGATATCAAGTGGGGATCAGCAGGGGTCTGTCCTTGGTTCAATATTGTTTAATATCTTCATTAAATAAATATTAATGGATAATGGGATTAAGTACACAACTGACGAATTTCTGGATACCACTAAGTTGGGTGGAGTGGCAGATACTCTGAAGGGCAGGGATAGGATCCAGAATGACCTGGATGGATTGGAGAAACAGTCCACAAATCAAACAGGTAAGATTCAACAAGGACAAGTGTGAAGTGCTACACTTGAACAGAATGATTCCATGCACATATTCAGACTAGGGAACAACTGGCTAGGCTTCGGTACTGCAGAGAAGGACCTGGGGGTTATAGTAGACCATAAACTGATTATGAGCCAACAGTGTACTGGGCTGTATTAACAGAAGGGTCACTTACAAATCAAGGGAGGTTATTTTTCTGCTTTAGTCAGCACTGGTGAGGCCTCACCTGGACAAACATGTCTAGTTTTGGGTCCCCACACTTTAAGAAGGATTTGGACAGAGCCTAGTGCAGAGCAAAAGCAGTGATTAGAAGCTTGGGAAAGGTCTCATATTATTAATGATATGAGGAAAGGCTGAACGAATTAAGGTTATTTAGTCTGGAGAAGAGACGACTAAGGGGGGAATTTGATAAGAGTCTTCAAATACCTGAAGAGTGATTACAAAGAGGATAGAGATGGGGTTTTCTTTGGGACTGTAAGGAACAGGACTGGGAGCCAGGGCCGTCCTGGGGGGAGGCAAATCGGGGCAAGACCTAGGCCCTGTGGAGCCAGGCTGGCTTTGTGTCTGGCTGCTTGCCACCCCCCTGCCCTGCCACATCCAGGCCCTGCACAGGCTGATTTGCCCTGAGCCCCGCACCCTGCTACAGTTGTCTCGGATGAGCGCAATGACCTTAGGATGCAGCAGGGAAAGTTTAGGTTGGAGATTTGGAGAATTTTTCACTATGAGTAATGGTGGTCAAGCTCTGGAACAGGCTACTTACAGAATCTCCATTCTTGGAAGGTTTCAAGAGCAGGTTAGACAGACACTTGGCTGGGATGGTTCAGTCAAGGATGATCCTACCTTAAGCAGGAGGCTGAGCTAGATGACCTCATCAGGTTTCTTTCAGCCCTACTTTCATATGATCCCATTTATGGACTTATATAAATTACAAGACTGGGAACTGCTGAGGTTAACTTCACCTCAGACCCTGGGAAAAACATGGAGCAGGTCCTCCAGGAATTCATATCCAAGTACTTGGAAGAGAAGATGAAGATTCGGAAGTCAGCATGGATTCACCAAGGGCAAGTCATGCCTGATCAATCTGATGGCCTTCTTTGACGAGATGACTGGCTCCATGGATGTGGGGAAGAGCCGCAAATGTAATATACATTGACTTTAGGAAGGCTTTTGATACAGTTCCCTACAACATTCTTGCAATCAAGCTAAGGAAGTATGGATTGGTTGGCTGAATGGACTGTAAAGCTGGATAGTTGGGCTCAATGGGTAGTAATCAATGGCTCAATGTCTAGTTGGTAACCAGTATCAAATCAATGGCTCAATGTCTAGTTGGTAACCAGTATCAAGTGAAGTGCCCCAGGGGTTGGTTCTGGGGCCAGTTTTGTTCAATACCTTCATCAATGACCTGGAACCTAGCATAGAGTATACCCTTAGTAACTTTGTAGATGACACCAAGCTGGGAGGCTGGAGGGTAGGGCTATGATTCAGAGAGATCTAGGCAAATTGGAGGACTGGACCAAAAGAAATCTCATGGGGTTCCATAAGGATAAGTGCAAAGTCCTACATTTAGGATGGAACAATTGCATGAACTGGTACAGGCTGGGGACCGACTGGCTGAGCAGCAGCTTTGCAGAAAAGGATCTGGGGATTACAGTGGACAGTAAGCTGAATAAGTTAACAGTGTGCCTTGTTATGAAGAAGGCTAATGGCATACTGGGCTGCATTATTAGGAGCTTTGCCAGCAGATCGAGGGCAGTGATTCTTCTCCTTTATTTGGTACTGGTGAGGCCACATCTGGAGTACTGTGTCCTATATAAAGGACATGTACAAATTGGAGAGTCCAGAGGAGGGAAATGAAAATGGTGTGAGGGCTGGGAAACATTAGAAGAGGCTGAGGGAACAGGGCTTACTGAGTGTGAAGAAGAGAAGGTAGAGGGGATTTTATAACAGTCTTCAATTACATGAAGGATGGTTCCAAAGAGGTTGGAGCTAGACTCTCTCTTTCAGTGGTGGCAAATAACGGAACAAGGAGCAATGGGCTCAAGTTACAGAAAGGGAAGTTTAGGTTAGAAACTAGGAAAAGTTCTCTCACTAGGAGGGTAGTAAAGCACTGGAACAGGTTACCTATGAAATCTCCATCCTTGGAGGTTTTCAAGACCTGGCTAGACAAAACCTTGGCTGGGATGATCTAGTTGGGGATGATCCAGCTCTGAGCAGGGGGCTGGGCTAGATGACCTCCTGAAGTCCCTTCCAATCCTAATTTTCTATGATTCTATGACTTCATGCTTTTGAAACTCAGTCTATTTAAATTTGAAGTAAGGTTTCACCTAACTTTTGGCTACTCATTTTTGAAAACCCATACTAAAAGTTTTGATTTCATGTTAATTTCTGAAAGTGAACTTTAATTTGCAAGTAATAAACCAAGCTATACTATTTGGATCATTTTAAATAAACCAAATATTCTATTTCTCCAAGCTTTAATACAATGCTTATTTTAAAACCTCTTCAAAATTTACAATTTCAGAAGTTTTGATACATCACTTCCAGTGGAATAAGAACATGTAATGCTTTTCACAATATTTCAAAGTATTTATTTAGAAATAAAATAATAAACCAGCTATTTATTTTCAGAAAAAGAATTGAATGTAATACTTTAAATGAGGGATCAACATTTTCTGGTGGCATGCTAGAATGATCTAGCTCAGATCAAAGGTGGGCCAGGGTGACGACCTGGCTGCTACTGCTCCTCCATACTGCTGCAAAGCACTATGCTGTGGTGATGGTGCAGCTGCCTGCCACTGAATGTCTCTGAAGACTGCTCCACAGGCCACATCCAACAGCTGTGAGCTGGATCTGGCCCACAGGCCACATGTTGCCAAGCCCTGCTTTAAATTATAACATGTATTTATTCAGCTGACAACTCTAGGGCCTTTTGATTGTTGAAAACAATTGCAGTTTCAAAAAAGTTTGTTGTAAGCTTAGAGTCTTTTGGAAAGGGTGGCATATTATAACAACAACAAAAACATGAAGAAATCCTTTTGGTTTTCATGAAAGGGAGCTGCTGTTATTGTGACTATTGTTGTTGTTAATAATAATAGCAACCCCCTTCATGAAAAGCAAAGGGATTTTTAGCTAACTATGGTGGCATAGCACTAAATGCTGAAGTGCTAGCACATAAGACTATGTTCATATTGATTTTTTTGGGGGGGGGAGGAGGGGGCAAACAGCAGTCCTTACTATCTTTTTCCTACCATTCTCAGTAATGCTTCACAATAACAAAAGGAGATTCTTGTTTGGAATAGGGCCAACAGAGACCAGCTGTCTGAAAAACAATAGGAGAGTAGAGTAGAGGAGGCGACTCAAACTTCAATTTTCCAGTTTCTACTTTACAAAAAAATGAAGATCTCTTCTGCAATTTAGGACAGTATGGAAATAAAAGTGATGACTTCTGTGTTTTCTACAGTCATTTTACAACAAAATGTAGGAACACAAGCATTATAGACATGGATATTACCTCCAAGACAAAAGCATCCTTTTTCCCATGTGAAAGGTCTAGTTCGGTAACTTCATCAGAACTTTCTGACTGAGATCTTAGCAGCCTAGAACGTTGCCTTGGTTCTGGAATGGGAGACCCTATGATTTCTTCCGGTATCTCCTGAAACAGCATTTAAATAAATTTCATGAAGCATTAGCATTTATTATAATGGATTTGAGTTCCTAATGTCTTACCCATCTCATAACATGAAAATAATTTATTTCAGGAAGAAAGCTAAAAGGAAAAACCCCACAGAAGCCAGGACCACAACAACCTTTTTTCCTTGGAGAGGAAAAGCAACAAAACAAAATAAAAAACAGTGCTTTATCGGAAGTGGAATTTCATCCGTTTGACCCAGCTCTTCCTTGGCATCTGTATAGCTTGCACACTTCAGCAGGTCTTTCTGGAGATTTTATCTATCAGCTGATTCAACCACTATTAGATACAAGCACCAAAAAGCTCCACTGAAGCCCATGAGCTAGACATACGTTGGGTGAGCCAAGTCAACCTGACGCAACTGCTCTTCTGGGCACATGCTGCGCTCAGCATGGGTGCGCACCAAGCTGAAAGTAAAGCACTCCCCCCATGTCTGTAAGCAGCCTAACATCACAGCTGCCAACCCTAAATACCTTCAAGAAGAAGGAGTGGACTCAGATCCTGAGCAACATGTTGCACAACTTATCCATTTCATGCTCACCCACAACAACTTCACTTTCAATAATCATCACTTCTCCCAAACCATGGGCCTAAATATAGGCACAAAGATAGCCCCTCAATATACCAACCTCTTTATAGGACATCTGGATGAAAAATTTCTAGAAAACAGCAGCAAACCTGAACTATATCTACATTACATAAATTCAGGTATAGTTATTATCTGGACTGAACACCTGTACTCAGTTATCGATTTCTACCACAGGTTTAACGACTATCATCCCTCAATCAAAGTTTCTCTGGAATACTTCTAAAGCAATATCAACTTTTTAGTTTCTAGTTACCATAATTCAGATCCAGAAACCACCACAAACCACTAGATACAGAAAATCCACAGACCATCATACTTATGTCTACAAGACTCGGCCTGAAAGCCACTTGATCAAAATGCTTAGCATACACAATACCATTTTGGACCTAGATCTAATTAACTGCATAAAGCAAATAAGCCACAGTTTAAGATAACCCTTTTGAAACCCCTGCCAACAGAAAGTTGAGAGGATATGGTTTAACAATCCAAGACAGGAAGATAGACAGCAGTTTGACAGGAAAAAAAATGAATATAAAAGATAACTGGTGGATATTTGTGCAGAAGGTATGTAATATTAAGCAATGAAAAAAAATATACAGCTCACTAAACACAGTTCACAAACTAAACAGGTAAAAGGCATGCAACTAAGTACAAAGAAGACATGTGAACAGAAAAAGCTGATTGGACAAATGGTGAAACAAAATCATAACTGCAGCAGTTGCAACTCTAAGTCAAAAAACTGCATGAAACTTGATGTCAAGCAACCACACAAACTACCCAAAACCCTAAGAAACCGTATAAAATGCAAACAGAGACATCACAAATTCGGAGAAACTTGAAGCCAAGAATACGACACAGGTAAATCCTGGAACAGTCAAGGCTGCCTGGCCCATTGAACTTGCTTTATCCATTGGAAGGTTTACAAATAATCTCTATTACTGACTGTTGGGGTCTTCTTAAAAGGTTAAGTGCTGCATTTAAAGCCTTGCTTAAATACTGGTAGTGCTTAGCTGTTAAATAAATTGGGATTTGAGACAGGAATAGTCTCACCAATTGATTAATTTCCATTCATCCCATCCCTTAATTAAATTTAGCATGACAAAGACCAGCAATCATCCTAAGAACACCAAAAAAACTGTTATCTATAGCTAGGCCCTTAGATACCACCACATTTTTTCTGAGGAGGATGCTCGTGAAGCCTACCTGGACAGCATAAAATCTTCTTTTATATAAAAAGAGCACTCCAGGAAAGAAATAGGTTGTACATTTAAAAGAGCTATGCAAATGTTCTGCAGTAACCTGCTACAATACAATACAACACCTTCCCTCTCCCCACCACCTACTTTGGCTACATACCCCTTGAGGTCACCTCCCACCCCACACTGGAACTCATCAGAAGAATCATCAAACAACTATGGCCTATAGTCAACAAATATCAGACTTTTCCCCACTGTCCAACAGACAAACAAGCAGGACAAGCCTTGCCTTGGCAAGAAATGCTTAACCTGTCAGCACACCTTCACTGCCGCTATTTATAAACTCCCACCTTAAAAAAAGCCCCATCAGAATCCATGGTTTCTACACATGCCTTTCCCAAAACATGATATACTCGATCCAATGCATAAAGTACCACAGGGCAACTATGCAGATACAAACTAAACAGCAACTACGCAACAGAACGAACTCTCACAGAAAAAAATATAAAAGGACAGACATATGCGTGCCATGAGGGGCGTATTTCTCACAGAAAAGCCATTCCCTCTCTGACTTCACTATTCTTGGAGGAAAACCTCACTATTGTCAAAGAAAAATCTAACTATCACCTTTAAAAGGTGAACTTAGGAGCAAAAATTCATAAACTGGACACTAAGAACCAAGGACTAAACACTGATATTGGTTTTATGGCACGTAATATTTTACCTGACTTCTGAAATCATTCCACACAGGAAAGGTGAGAATGACCCTTCTCACTTTTGATAGGCCTTGATCTCCCAGCCATTAGCTTCTTTCCTTCTGCTAACTACACATCTGTTACCCTTCAGAATTTCTCTCACCTCCCACACTACTGTTTTTCACTATGCTGGGCCAGGCTTCCTGTAATAAGAGACCTATCAAAGAATGTCTTGCATTTGAAAGCTTGTCTAATTTTATCCCAACTACACAGGTGGCCCAATGAAAAATATCACCCTAAGAAATCCTAGCCTTTGGCTTTTATTTAAAAACAATTCTTGCTTTAATGTAAATAGATTTGTTCTTAATTCTTTCCTATCATTTTATTTTAGAATTAAGCTATTAAAAGACATATCTATGCACACGACCGTCTCTCACTCATTTAATTTATCCCTGCCACATAATACTCAGGGAAAATTATTGTGTCTGTGATATAAGGATTATCTCTGTACTAGAATTATGTTACACTACACTTGATTTTAGCCAAAAGGGTTCTCATACATATGACCCTGAATGATTAACAATGAAATGAACCTTTTTTTTTTTTTTTTTTTTTACACTTACACAATGCATAAAAGAACAATAAGAAATAAAACAGATCTATCATCAACACAGATAAATTAACTGCTGGTACATAACAGTTTAAGAGAACATATTCACACATGTATTTTTCTTCTTTGTTAAAAAAAATTAGTAGGTTATTTTTTCTCCTTAGGTATCCAGGTATCCTTAGGCATCCTGAAACCTGAGATCCTGCTCCTGCCTTTGTTTCAAGGTAATCTGCATCATCACAGGAGGTGAGAAGCTCCATACCAACTATGAACCGACTGCACAGAGGAGTTTTCCATCTATTGACTCTGTGAAATCCTATGAAAGATGAACTTTTATTTCTACCCAGGAGAACTTTTACAATCTTTTCTCCAATGCCTGATGAAGGGTTTGTGCCCGAAAACTTGCAATTAAAGAATTTGTTTTTCTGCAAAAATCTTGTTGGTCTAATAACAGATATCATCTCTACTACAAGTCCATTTTCTCCTTAGGCAATTTCTCTTAGGGTTTGAGAAGTAGGAAGCAATATAGTCTACACTAAACTAGAAGAGAGAAAGAGAACCTATTATACCTATATTCAATCAGTACTGCTACCCAGTTCTGAAGACAGCCCCAGCCATTCAGCGTCATTTGGAGGTTTCTGGATATGGAGAGGATTGCATGATAATACATTATAATTGACATTACGTTTCTTAAATAAGGGAAGTTACAAAAATGGAAAGGTATTCCTCACTTTACTGGAGAAAGCAAAGGGAATCTGGGCTACTGAGAAAATACATGTGAAATGAGAGAGTATCCCATCAAGCAGAGAAATGCTAAGTGCCCAAACCACTATAACATCTAATGGAATGTGATGCTATTTAATGCCACTCAGAGTAGAAGTGGGCCCCCACCCTTTCTTTCCCCTTAAAAAATCCCCAACCACCTCCCCCACAACCCCTGAATCAATTTTGGCAAATAGAGGTAATCTACTATAATATTGGAATGGCTCATATAGTCTTAAGGGTCCTCCTTGGCAGAAGGTTATGCAGCTACAATTACTCTGCTTCAAAAAAAAAAAAAAAAGATGAAAATATCCCTCCTTTCATTCTAGGATACAGGGTGCTGATTCATGTGTCCAAGAATGACCCTCTTATCAAAAGACCTGAATCCAGTTATCAGGCCGGACAGATTCTTCTCTATCTGGTGACTAGCTAGAGAGGCCCCTTCACAGTTCAAAGATATCTCATAGGTTGACAGTTCCGATACTGCCTTTTCCAGAATCCGTCCCTGAAATTAGGTATAGGAATTCATAGAGTTCCATTTTCAACATGGCAAAGCAGCAAATTGTATCTATCTTATAAGCCTTATTTTAAAATACTTGTGGAAGTTTCCCACCATAATCCTCTCCTGTGATGTAAACAGAAAAATGAAAGAAAGAAAAAGATGGGACAGATACTTTCACTTTTGCACTAGACTTAAGAGGCATCTTTTCATATTGTCCAGTTTTGTCAGGACTTGTGCCTTCCCCAACTTGGGGTTACAGAAAAGCTGATTCCGGCCTGGAAAAATAAGATTATATCTATCCAGTCAGCAAGAGTGCATACCCTGACTAGTAAGTTGCAAGTTTCTTTTCACTGCTCCAGATTGTTGGCTGATGCTCTAGGATCTCCCATGTCTCTGAAGTGCGATTTGGCATGGGAATATAGAAAGAGACTTGTAGAACATCACCAGCTATGAAATTTATATAAATATTATACTGAATAAGTTTAGCTTATTCTTAATGGCCTCTGCTTTGCTTGCTTTCACTCACAAGAGTTTAGGGACGTGCATATTGTGAAATGACAACAACAGATATTCTCTTTACTGAGGATTGCATGAACTTTACTTACAGGAGGGTTAATCTCAAAAATCTCTTTGTTTTTGGCTATTGTATCATTTATTTTTTTTTGCATGTGAGATATATGCTGTTCATAGGTGCCATCATTTGGAGTCTTCCCAGCAATCTGAATACCACCAGGGGTTGGTAAAGCAGTAAGATACACACCTGTGGCAGACTAAAAAAGAAAAAGTTACTAAGAAATATATCCAAGGTATGTTCAAGTTCGCTGAAGTTTTATTTTCAGTGCTTATTTCTACTTCTAACAGTATAAGGCATTTATAAGTTTCAGGGGTGCCTATGATTTTTTAGCAATGCAACAAACCTATTTGTATTATAACCTGCTTCTGAGGTAACATAACCCACCTTTATTGAAGACGATGTTTTTTAAATAACTTCTCACTCCTGGCATCTCTCTCACTCAAAAGGAACTGTCTTACTTATCTAGGAACCCAAATAAATTATAAATAGAAAACAGTGTTTCTTCCTAAAAGGCTTTCATCTCGGGTTAGTAGTTTCATATCTAAAAATTATTACATACTAGGATACTTGTACTATAATACAGAATACAGTAATATTTTTTCTAATAATCATGCATTGAGCTAATCCTTGATTTCGGTAGGAAATACACTGCCTTAACTTTACAGCATTTTGTAGCGTTAAATTATAAAGTTGAATTCCCAGTATTAGGGAGTTAAACCATGTTATATCAGTCTATTATACCACAGAAATAGGAATATCTTATGAAAGACACGTGTTTAAATAAACTAGTCACAGTGGGTGAAAAACCATTTTTGATTCAGGAGAGAAAGAAATAATAAATAAAGATACTTCAGATTTACTACATGTGAGGTTTTTACAGTGAGAAGGCAAGATAGCCATCTACCAGAATCTTACGGACTCTTTAAGCCAGTTTAGTAAGGAGAGAGGCTAAGTCACATCAGGGTCGAGATATTTCAACTTATAAGCAAATATCAAAAATGATATAGAGATGGATAAAAGAAAGAAACAGAATGGTAACTTACCAGACATATAGCTCTGGTTCTTTGAGAAGTTGTAGCCTACATGGATCACACTGTAGGTATGCGCATACCTCAAGTGCATGAGCTCAGAATCTTTCCTGAGTAGCAGTGTTCACCAGGGCCAGACTTACGTCCGGTCACCTTGTGCTCCCATGTGAGCATGAAAAGGATGGAAAGAGTGCAACTCATTTCTCTTGAAATTCAAAGCTCATGTCTGAGGAGAACTCCAAAAGATGGGGATGAAGGACAGGGCTGTAAAATTCACACCAACTACAACATCTCAAAGAAAGGGGTCAATTATCTGCGTATGACTTCTGGGACTGGATCCCTAAATTGGGGGGAAAAAATGTTTTTGCTATCACATAAGAAGAGACTGAGGTTGCCTATCCTGGAAGATATATACCTGATATCAGATTTAAATAAACTGATAAGGAGCTAGGTAAAGAGAAACAATTATTTTAGGCACAATAAGTAGCTCTGAATTTTGGAAACAGAGTTTGAATGTGACAATTGGTCCTCCATGCATTTCCAGTAAAGCAAAAATATTCCTGGCATCTGACTCATGATAATGATCTCCCTCCTGCTCCTCTCGACAAGCCTGTGGGAGTCAAAATAGAATGGGGCAATAAATCCTCTCCCATGTCAAAGTTAGCAATGTGGCTCATAAGTTACGATTCAAGGTTGAACAAAAACAGATAACTGTATTACATCCAAAAGATTCAGTTTCTTGAAGTCCTTGTATTCCAGAGCAGATCCTTTTTTCACAGACTGTACCAAAGACTCTGGAGTTGAACAAGAATAAAAATACCAGAAACCTGTTAAGATGGATTCTGATAGAGCTTTTTTATTCAATTAAAAGTTAAGAAAAACAACAGGTATACCAGCTTTTCTTGCTTCAGCATACTCGTGTTAATCAGGACAGCAGTATTAACATTACTGAAGAACTGAAAAATCAATAGTTTGCTTGCGTGCATCTTTCTGGGATCACTATTGTTTCAATGCCCATTGCAGTCCTGATTTCAAGGCCTTTCAGGACTTGTTCACGTCAGTGGCTGATGTTGGAAAAGATGTTACTGCTTCATCAGATGAGGACAAAGAGGACTTTGGTAAAGAACAGGTTGGTGGAGATAGATGGACTTGTACAAGTCTTCCCCAGGTTCAAACCTTACTAGCCACAGATACCACTGGCCATCTATTTAACTGAGGTACTTAACACTGTGTTCATCCCTGTCACATCCAAACAGATTCTGTTGTTAAGACAAAGTGACTATATACCTATTACATTTTTGATCCTTTCATAAGCATGTGCATCAGAGTGCCATTTGGTAATTTTACTTTGTTTTTAAATGTGTGTTGCCACGTTGTTAGAGAAATGACAGCATAGAAATATAACTTGTACTTGGAGTGGGAGTGGTAAGATCAGTGGTTTGTCTCCTGGGGAGTTCATGTCACACTCTTAGACCAGCAACTAAGTCCCACTCTTATGGACTTTATTCTTCCTGTAGAGAGTTATCTAGAGTTCAGGCAGTATATTTGCCAGCTACGGATTTTATTCCAAAACTTTAGGAGCTCTTTTAGATATTCTGGGCTCAAGCCATGGAATACCTTGAGGATAAAAGAATGAAATTCTTAAGCCGATTCAAAATTCTATGGGAAGCCATCACTGAGAGTTAACAGGTCTGATGTGCTTGCAGCAGAATAAGCTGGCTGAGGATATATACTGCAGCATTTTATACAGTTGGAAATTTTCATGACCAAACGTACAACGTTGCTATATCCATTCAGGCGACAAAAACATTACTAACTTCAGCCAGGCCATAACTGAACAATGTGGAACAATCTCCTAGCCAAGTGCAGAAAACAGGAAGCACTACTTGCTGAGATTGCTATGAAAGCTGAGCAGTAAGAAAAGCAAGCGTAGTCACACACTACTGAACATTTATAATTTACCCTTTTCTTGAGCTGTCTATCCACGTTTATGAGAAGGTCATGAGAAGGTTCCCTTGCTGCATCTTCAGCCCACTGAGAAGGTCAAAGGCCTTGCTGAAGTCCAGATACAATATATCCACACTATATATTCCCTTCATCCCTCCTCACCCCAAGTAGTTACTTTGTCAAAGAAGGAGATCAAATTTGTTTGACATAGTGCTTTTTAGTAAATCCAGGCTGAGTGTTTGTGATCAGCTTTTCCTCCTCCAGATCCTTGCAAATGGACTTCCTTAGGATATGCTCCAGTAAGTTCCAGGGTACTGAAGTGAGACTAACCAGTCTGTAGTTCCTTAGGTCCTCTTTTTTTGCCTTTTAAAAAGATGGCCACTATGCCAGCCCTTTTCTTCTGGTATCTCACTTGTCTCCAACAACTTCATAAATATTATTAAAGGGTTTGCCTTTCCTTGTTTGTTGCTCATGTCAAGCATAGTAAAGTAGCCAGCACTGAAAATCCTTATGCTGGATCCTGCACCGAGGATTTTGGCACCTTTCAACATTCTTTTCTTTCCATTCAAATGCAAAAGAACAGTGTTTGTCTTCTATAAACTTGACAGGAATAGCCTTCAAGTTTAGTTTGTTAGTTATTTGTCTCTGAGATGAGATGTGACCTTCAAATGATCTGAACTCCTGATCTAAATTTCTGCTTGCAAGAGAAGGAACAGCAGGCAAAACATTTAAATCCTTCCCAAAGACTATAAAGCCTTCTATTGTATCTGCTGATCAGGAACATAACACCAGTCCATTACAGTATTTAAACAAGTTTTAAACCCTGATGACTAAGAAATGACATGCTGGCAGTAGTGTGAACAACTCCCCCAAGTGTACCTTCCTGACTTTGCACACGAGCACGAGGAACTGCAGAATATGTGCATAGATTTAATTACCAAGGCTCACAAGATTTTGAGCCAACTTGCAGAAGGCACAGACTCACCTACTGTAGGATCCATGGAGACAGATACTTGAAGAAGAATTTCCATATTTTAATATGCACTTTTCATTTAGGAGAACAGAGAATTTGAAGTTCACTCTTCAGTCCTGATGGAAGTTTGGAACATGTCTGAAGAGAGAACTTCAGACTCTAAATACTAAAATAAAAAGCTTTCTCCAATCTTAACATTAATTCTGATAAACAAGATCTATGTTTTGGACATCTGTACAATAACTACTGGCATACATGTTACTATACTTAACATTACCATAGAAAATAAAATGGGGGATACAAAAACAATCATGAGGGGGGACAAGGCATCAGTACCAAAACACAAGACACATTTGGAGCACTAGTTTCCAGACTCAGAACCTTTACAGTGCAATTCAGTACCTACATCTGTGCTGCAGCTGAAGCAAAATAAGAGAAGAGGTCAGAAAGAGAAATCAATCTAATGTAGGGGTGGTCAACCCCCAGTCCATGAATCAGATATGGTCCCCAGCACTGGGTCACCCATGGGGAGCTCCACAGGCTGTGACCCTGCACATGAGATTGGGCATACAAGGCCGTGCAGGGCCTAACCCCAGCACGTGGGGTAAGATAGAGACAGAGCAGGGCCCCAATCCTTTTGCGTGAGGCAGGCAGAAGCAGCATGCAAACTTCATCCTCGCAAATGGAACTGGGCAGAGGGCAACGTGTGGTCTGATCCTGGAATAGACCACTGGCCCAATCCTAGCATGTAGTGGCCGGTCAAGGCAGTATAAGGCTTAATCTGAGCATGCAGGTCAAATCTTGGTGCATGGGTCAGATCTAGCTCATGGACAGGCCCTGTGTCACTCATCTGGTGTGTGGGGCCAGGAAGTTGAGCACCACTAGCTTAATGTACTGTCAAGTCATAGATTCATAGATGTTAGGGTCGGAAGGGACCTCAATAGATTATCAAGTCTGACCTCCTGCATAGACAGGAAAGAGTGCTGGGTTCAGATGACCCCAGCCAGATGCCCATCCAACCTCCTCTTGAAGACGCCCAGGGTAGGGGAGAGCACCACCTCCCTTGGGAGCTCATTCCAGACCTTGGCCACTGTAACTGTGAAGTCCTCCTAATGTCCAGTCCAAATCTGCTCTCTAATAGCTTATGGCCATTATTTCTTGTGACCCCCAGGGGCGCCTTGGCGAGTAGAGCCTCACCAATTCCCTTCTGCACCCCTTGATGAATTTATAGGCAGCCACAATGTTGTCTCTCAACCTTCTCTTGCGGAAGCTGAAGAGGTCCAGGTGCCTTAGTCTCTCCTCGTAGGGATTGGCCTGCAAGCCCTTAACCATACGGAGTGGCCCTTCTCTGAACCCTCTCCAGGTTATCCACATTCCTCTTAAAGTCAGGGATATCGACACTGACAGATCACAGAGGTTGCTTCTTGCACCAGAAGTTCAAAGACAAGTCTCAGTTAAGGTTGATCCTCAACTCATGCCTCAATTTGTATTTCCAGCACCAGACTATAATATTCTGAATATCCACTGGTGTCAAATACAGGATTCCCCAATGTGTCCTAAACATCATGACACATGAAAGTGGCAGTGACAGAGTTGCGACTTATCAGCATATTTATATTTAGAAGTGCATAATGATGTAGTCTCTAGCCACACAGTGGAATTAAGTCACTCTCACAATTTCAAGACAACCTTTGAGGTTATCACGGTCAGTTTTTACAGTGCACTTGTCTATCAAGCCATGGTAGAAAACCATGGACAGCTAGCCTGTAGACTGCACCCAGGACCTATCTAATTACTGAGATGCCTTGGGAGAGACAGGCTCTTACATGGCTATTCCAAGCCCGCACAGACAGAAATTGAAGATACCTGTGACTGAATGGTTTATAACTATCTAGTCTCCTTGATAAATTTTCCAAAACTTAAATTTTATTTTAAACTAGTAAGAAAAAAATAATAATTTGATACTGTGGAACAAACTCCAATGGAGTTTGAAGCTGCTGAAAAATAAGGTGTAACTGTTGCACACAGTTAAACCAGTAAAAATAACAATATAGGTCCTTCAAAGTAATTTGATGGAAAATGACAATTAAAGATACTAGCAGCCACCAATATTCTGAGCAGGAGGAAAGGTGATGGGTCTTCTTGTCACTGACCCAGAGGGGACAAAACCCATCTGGCATACAAGCAAAATGCAGTTTGAGAGTAGAGATGTATTTTAATAGCAACCTTAAGAGAATATGATCATTTTTATGAAGTATATGCCAATTAAGTTATTTTGGGGAATTCTCTTTTCTCTTTGATATTTGTCTCCTAATTTAGGTTCAAAAGAGTCCAGTCTCCTGTGGCAATCAAGGTCAGCCTGTTCAGATTTTTCTATCATTATTACTTCTATACTAATTTCTAAATGCTTTCCACCATTATAAAAGTTTTTGTGAAATTGTAAGAACAGTCTGTAATACAATGAGAGAATCTCAAAATAGGCACACAAAGCAACACTTACTGCCAAGCCCACCAGCATATTTTCACCCACTGAGATCTGAATCCTCAGTCCAAAAAGGGCATTCATTCCCCTCAATTTAAGTTTGTTCATTAGCTGGGTGTGTACTTCATATTCCATAAATGGCAACAGATTGCTGATAACTGTTGCATTGGCTTCTGCTTGAGCTTTCTTTTTCAGGCGACATAACCTGTTGATGGAAAGGCAGATACATGGAATTACCCAGGACTTGAATACGTAGGCTTATTAATGGTTAAAAACAAAAAGCAATGAGACTTTACATTTTTAACAACTGAAAACACATTCAAGTTCTTTTTTAGAATGAAAAAAATAGATTTTATATTTTAAGCATAGCACCTTCCTAAGCATCAGTCAGCACAGCATTAAATTGATCGGTCTTGGCTTATAATAAATATTTGCCAGTAAAATGTTGCTAAAATTAGCCATGACTGTACCTTGGATTTCTTGTTTAAACACCTTCCATTATAAAATTCATGAATGTTAATGAATTCAGAAGTAGGAAGTGCTGCTGTACTTCAGTTCAATAAGCCAAGGCACAGATAGAGTAAAATGACTTATCCAAGATCGCAGAAGGCAGAGGAAAATCCAAGAAGGAAACCTGTTCTCCATGACTTCTACTTCCTTTAGCCACATCTTTTAAGGCCATTAATACAGAATCATAAATAAGCATGAGAGGCAGACAGTAGATCCTGGCATTTAATGTAAGCAAGCTAACTGTGCTTTACAGAAGCAGTTACTTGCTATAACGTAACTAAAGCAGTCCTTCCTGGATCATCTCACAACAAATCAATTACTTTCAAGAGATGCTCCACAGGTATGCCAATCAAGAGGGTTGGCATATCCAATCCAAGTCAGAATAACAAAGCAAAAAAAGGAAAGCAACTGCTCATATTTAAAACGCAAAATTACAATACCATAATTAAATTCATGCAAATCTAAAAACACTGAATCTGCCCTTCACTCTCAGATGTACTACCACCTAAGCCAGGGGTGGGAATTTGGGCCTGTGGGCCACACAGCAAGTTTTGCTGAGCTGTTGTGGGCTCCCTATGAGGCCACAGGTGGGTAAGGAGCAGTGTTTGGGAGTGGGACAGGAGGGTAAGGCTCACAGGAAGGGGTCATGGGACTGTGACAGTGCAGGGCCGAGGCAGAGCCAGGATTCGTTGCCTAAACACCCCAGACAGGGGCCAGTTCCATAGGCAGGAGCAGGGAAGGAACAGATCGCAGCTCTGCCCTGGCCCTGGATGCAGCTTCCTGCCCAGCTGTGGCCCCATCCCACACAGCTCCCAGATGGTCTCCATAGAGTTCTTGGGACTGCAGGATGGAGAAAGTGCAGGGCCAGAGCCAGGGCCAGGCCACGATCTGTTCCCTGCACGTCCCTGGCCTCGCGTTGTCACCGTCCCACGATTTCAGGGTCTTCATGGAGACCAGTTGGGAGCCATGCTGTTAGAGTGCAAGTCTAGGCAAATGGGATGGGACCACAGGTTTGGGGGGAGCTGCATCAGGGTTCTTGGGGCAGCAACAGCAAGGGTCCAGATCGGGACAGAGCCGTGATCCACTCCCAGCACGCCCCTGCCCACAGAACTTGCACCTGTTGCAGTGGCACGCAGGGAGCAAATTGAGGTTCTGCCCAGGCTGTCACCACTACAAGATCCTGGAGTCTCCCCAGCCCCCAGGATGCCACTCCCCACCTGCCTGAGGCCCCATCCCAGCCAAGCACCCTGCCCTTGGGGGTCCCACCCCTAGCAGTGGGTATAGGATGAACAGACCAGGGTGTCTGGGCAGTGAGGCTGGGTCTGGTGCCAGTAGCAGCCAGAAGGAGTCACTGCAACCACTGGGGCTGTCAGGAAATACAGTCTGGTTGCTGTACAGTCCCAGCCCAACTTCACACCTGGGTGTGGCAGGACCAGTTCACAGCCCAGGCTTCTTGGACTGGACTGCCATGGGCTGGTGGACAAAAATCCCTTGGTGGGCCAGATCTGGCTTGTGGGCTGTATTTTGCCTACTCCTGACCCAAGCTGACTGACTAAGCAACACTGCTGTATTTCTAGCAAGTAGCAAAATATTCCCCCCACCATTAGTATTTTTAAAAATATTTAAAAGAAAGAAACTACAATTGTATTTATAAATATTAGTACAGTATCATGGTTTATTTGTAAAGAATAACCCATGATACTTAACAGTGCATGTAGGATTCTCTTTAAACATATATTCTGAATATGTTTCTGAATTCATAAAGATAAAATGACAAAGAAAAAAAAATCTAATAGAAATTTTTTTCTCTGTGGCTGTACTATCCCACCTGAGGTCTGCATTTAAAAGGGAAATTTTGGTTAAGATCTTAGTGGGCATGTATACATGTGCATATTAATACAACACAATAAACTCTAGCACAGTTCGTGCCAGAGTTTATTGCTCCTGGGTGCAGCCTTTACACATGCACCTGGAACTGCAGAAAATTGAGCTGGGACAGAGCAGCCCTTGTTGGCAGGGGGCTGCAGGAATCAGCTTGGCAGGCTGGGGCTGCTCCAACCTGGGTCAGCGTGCTGTGGAGGGGCTGGCTGGGGCAAGAGGGTGTTCAACGCAGCCCTGCACTGTAGCACCCTTGTGCCCCAGCCAGTTCAAGTCCCTGTTTACAGCTGCACTGCAGCACACTAAGTAATACTACCATAGGATAGTACTTGTGTTAGGCAGTACTATTCTACAGCAGCATTAATTAGTTTACTGCAGCCTAATAGCACCGCGCATGTAGATAGTGACATTTTATTGTGGAGCTAATTAGTCAGCTCCTCAGTAAATGTCTTGTGTAGATGCACCCAGTATGATTATGGGACTTCTACTTTTCTACCACATGCCAAGCTGTGTTTCTCATTCTACTGGTTCATTATTTTGACTTAATTTAACCAGAGCATAACTCCTTATTTTCATTTTCAAATCTTTGCCCTCCACAACCATGTAGGCAAAAACAGTAATTTTAGTAGGAAGTACAAAATAATAGAGACAATGTAAAATGAGATCAAAGTTAACTGCTGTTCATCAAGAACAAAAATAGTATAATTACAAAGTTGCCAGCTAGCTATTGGTTACTTCAAATAACTGAACATAACATAAAACCTGTAATTTTGTTCAACCACAGAAAGAAGAAAATCTACCACAGTAGTCAGAAAATGAATATTCTGATTGATACCTGGCTTGAATAAGACATCCTTTCCCAATAACCATTGCCTCTACAGGCAAATCTATTGTTGTGAACAGAACATCAGGAACCTTTTGCTTTCGACAATTGTAACAGTATGTGAGGTGAGCAGGAAATGGCATGTTCAGTTCATCATAAGGTATGTGGCAAAATCCACAACCTGCAGGTGAAGTTTCTTCAATCCTAGAAGTACATCATGAAAAATATATTTAAAATGTGTGCATCAATTTAACAAGAGCATATGTGTTCACATATATAAATTTATCCTATACACACAGACCTATTTAAGCCATCCATATCAGTACAATTCTTCTCTATTCCAGCTATGTGACAATGTTCATATAATTATATCAGTGTACAGAATAAAATTGTCACAAGCTACTTACTAAAATGGTATTTATAGTGCGGGGGGGGAGTGGCAAAATGCGGCCCAGGGGTGCCTGCCAGGCCACTCTATCCGGCCTGCAGGGCCCCTAAAAAAATTAGAAAATTAATATTTATCTGCCCTGGGCTGCCTGTTACGTGGCCCTCGATGGCTTGCCAAAACTCAGTAAGCAGCCCTCTACTCAAAATAATTGCCCGCCCCTGTTATAATGCCTATGCTTCAACCTTCATTTAGTCAGAGATCAAGAAACAAATGCATAAAATTGCCAGTGGTTTATATTAGTTTAACATACTACTTCAATTACTGTAGGATCTATGTTTCATGGTTACTGCAACATATTTATGGCAAACTTCTGTGTATAAATGCATATCAAATACAGTATGAAGCATCTCCTACAAGACTATGTTTGAATAAACTATACAAAGGTTAATCAATGGATTAAATATGACAGCTATTTTCACTGGAAAGCAGCATAATACAGTTTGCCACTGTAAACCAAAAGACCCAGAGAATTTACCAAACTACAGTATTAAACCAAACTTGCTAGTCACTCAGATTTGAAACAATTAAAAATATCTTGGAATAACTGTTGCAAATACAAAGACTATGCAGTCTGATCAAATTATGATTTTTTTTAACTACTGTATAAGGCAACATGGTATATTTATTTTGTCCTGTACAGCATTATTTTGCTTTAAAATTTCTGAGTCAGATTTTAAAGATTTAAGTAAGATTTGTACATGGGACCATTTTTCTTTATATAAGGGATGTGACTTTCTTTAGATGTCACAGAAGTATTCTTTCCCATGGTGAGAGTTTATTAAATGTTCTTATGGGACAGAAAAATACAAACTAAAATATCTTGTATTTTGACTACATCTTTAAATAACTGATCAAAAAGTGTATCTTCAGAAGAGATAATCACATGCTAATAAGAATAATCATAGGCAAAATGCTAAGATACAATGCTTCATAGAGAAATGAGGCACCTTTGTGCTATAACATATGATTTGGGCTGCACGGATCCTGTAGGTCTATTATCCAAATGAACATACAGGAAAAGTACTATTAACAATAAAAAAAGACAATATAAATTGCTACTCTACGAACTAATTATTTTACAAAATTTTTTTTTTTTTTTTGCTATAGAGGGGGGAAAAAAATCATAATAACTAGTAAATTTAGTCTTTTCCTTTAAGCTTTAAGACAGTTATAAATGTCAGTTTATAGAAATATCTTCTGTAGTGATCCAACTTATTCGTTTTTATATTGCATATAAACCATATTTGATTTACTACACAGCTACTGAACACAATGCAGTAGTTCAAATACTATATCTGCACCAAAATTTAGCTTAAGTTATTATTTGACAGTCAATTTTTGTAGGGTTCTATGCTAAGGTGAGAAAGATACCTGAAGAGTGTCAAAGAAAAAAACGAGTTATAATTCTGTGGTTAGTAGTCAAACGTGTTACCTTACTCAGGCTGTTAGAAATAAAAACAGAATATTTAATTTGGTGCAGAATTCCATTACTTCTGTTGTTGTTGTTGTTAGTGAAAAATCAGTAAAGTGGTTGGTCCCGCATCCTGCACTGTAACACTGTAACCTACCCTAATAGAGAAGAACTATCTTGGCTCTGAGGAAAAAAATCAACCTCTCCCTTCTCTGACCCTATGGAAAAGAAGCCAGGCTGCCATGACAACCTTTGATCCAAACAGCCTTCCATGGTGCCATCCTGGAGAAACCTAGGGTTCAGTACAGCTGCCGTGCCAGATGCAGACAAAATACAGACCTCTTCACTATAAAAGAAAAGAATTACAAAGTGAATTCCTGTTACTGGGTGTTAAGCTCCTTTTATATAAAACTACTAGAAATTAAAAGGCCTATGCAAAAGTCGCACTGAATTCAATAAAATTGCTAATCCCTGAATATTTATGATACTAGTAACAACGATGACTAGCAGATCAACAAATAAATCTTCACAAATACTCCTGTTTGGTGTTTTGCCCTTTTTATATAGATAGAGAGCTGGATGCAGAGAGATTAATGAGACTTGCCCAAAACTACAGAGACTCTGTAGAGGAAGTGAAGAGACAGGAATCCCTGGCTCCCATAACTTTTTACTGAAACCACCAAAAAGCAAACTCAGCAGTAGCTTGCCATAACCTTATTTGTGAAATCTTGAATCTTTTGTATTTTACAAATTACAGCAAATTGTTTACAATAATATAAGGTGGAAGTTGAAAACCTTATCATTTTATAACATGCCTAATAAAATGAACTTACAAAACAATACTGACAAAGTTGCATCTTAGTAACTTAGGATAAAAAGCAATAAAATATAAGCAACATTTTAAATTAGAATGGCAAGTATAAATTCACATATAATTTAGTTAACTAATTACATTCTTGGTTTAAAAAAGTTTGCACAAGTTAAGGTAGTGATCACACTACATTTATAGTTTCTGTAATGTTACAGATTTAAAAACAATAAGCCATGCATGATAAAGAGAAACAGTGCTGTTCTCCATTACTTCAAATGAGAAATTTATCCTTTTACATGTAATTTCCTTTCCTAATTATTATGTCCAGCACACCAGTATTATAAACAAGGCTTTAATCTCTTTAAGGCACAGAATCATGACTGTACTGAATTATTCCACCATTAAAACATTCTCTGAACAAAATATTCTACCAGCTAATGAAAATATAAAACACACTATGAAATGAATGACTAAATATATTTTGTACCCTCCAGTCAAATTCTAAAATAAAATAAATAATATTATGTCAAAAATGTGATTCTAGACTGTTTGTTATGTTATTTATGAAAAGCTAATTTGCTGCAAAGCAGAAAAAAGATTCCAAAATCCCAAGCAGGGGTGAAAAACAGAAAATCACTTAAAAATAAGGGTGGGATAGACTGTAAGAACATCCACGTAAGAACAAAATAGCTATGGAATAAGCTTAGAAAAAAATAAACATAACACAGACTGTTGAGGTTGTTTTTCTAGTTCCCTTACTCTGCTACAGAAAGGAGGACTTTATTTCCAGAGGCTGTATTGAAACAGAAGGAAGGTGAAATTTGTGAAAATTCATATTTGTTTCTTCCATATGATATGGCAATGAATCTGGTTATGTCTGTTTTGATGGTTTTGGAGAGACCATTTCTGGTCATTTTCCATATTTCAGCAATGGATTCTTTTACCCATGTTGTGAAGTAAGCCTTGATTGTCTTGTTTCTTTTGTAGCTTATCAGAGTAACTGTAAACAGAGACTGATTTCCTGTCTGGTCTGGTTCTTTAAGGGCATAATCTTCCCACATGCCACTACTTTTTCTTTCAGGTCACTAGGGAGGGATCAAGCGGATAGGATTAATTCCTGAGAACTATGGAGCACCCATAGGAAAGTCTAGGAACCACTGTATCCATATAAAACACACAACAAATCCCTTATGGAGAATATTCTTTGTCCAGAGATAATAACTATAAATATGACTGAGACAAGTTATTTGGAAAGTCAACATAAGAGCTGAGAAGGAGAAAGATGAATCAAGCAGGCAATCTCAGATTTTGTAAAACCATCCTACAACTGCACACTGGAAAAAACAATAGACCAAGGTGACTGAAGCTAATGTCAGAACACTGATTTATCACAAACCCTGCTACATGAACAAATGTGGGGGTGGGGAGGGAAGAGGAGAGAGGGTGTCAAATATTACAAATAACTGAAAGATGATGAAGGCATACGTCCGTATTTAGGATACTTAAGAAGAAAACAAACTGTAATAATATTGACTAGAACAGGTAAAAAAAAAATGCTGTGTTTACCCTAAAACTTCCTTTCCAGTGATCAATTTTTTTTCACTGAAAACTATCAAGACAAGAAAGCTTCTTATTAAAGCATCTTTTATGCTCTTGCTTAGTGATATAAAAATCAAACTCCTGGTACAATTCTTCTCAGTAGGTGAACACCTCCATCTTTTACATCAGCCTGGCTTCCTAACTTGCTGATTTAAACCCCCCACATCAAGAATTCACTTGCCCTTCGTTTCTTTGGATTAATCAGTTCCTACACAGAGACCCTTTCACACAGATCATCATCCGTATGTCACACTGAACATCATTTGGACCAATTCAATCAATGCTCTATTCCAGTTCCTTTTGTTTATAGAGGATACTGCTGCAATATTGTCTGAATTAGTATTACCAACAGTGTTCTTGAAGTAGGATGGTGAGGCAAGCTCAGACACAAGAGTAATTAATTTTTAAATGCCTATAGAATTTATGTAGGTTCCTCAACCTATAAGGTTCACATGTCTGATGATTTGCTCTCTTTCAAAAGTATCAGTTTGATACCAATTATATATTTCTCTCTGAAGGAAAGCGAGAGCATCTTCCACTTGCTCCTTGATAAATTATATTTGGATATCTTGGTATTTTGTCCACATTAAGAATTCTGTACAGGCTGTTTCCTGGAATTGGAAACATGAACTGCTTTAGGCTAGGAAAACTGGACAGATGGAAGATTTCGTAATATTCTCTTCCGAAGGTTCTAGTCAAGCATTTAAATTGAGAAGAAGAGTGATATTTTGTTGGATAAGTTACAAGTTTTTTGCCTTCTAGGTGAGCTGGCTGTAAGCGGTTATCTTTTAGGGTGGATAGCACTCCTCCATTTTTGGTCCCTAAACTCCAGCAGATGTTGGCACCAGAACAGGGGAACTTATTTCTTCTGGAAATTCAACTCCTGAAAGGCCTTATATCTTTGCTCTTTTGGGTAATGTTAGACAGAGCCACTACCACACTTCGTGAGAAAAAAACCATTTATAGTGGCAAAGGAGGGGAAAATTTTGTCCAAAATGTTGCCTCTACTTTTTCTGTGTAGCACTGGAAAGTAGAAGTTAAGGCAACCACTTTCCCAGCAGATCTATAACAGGAACATTACAGTACCATGCTCTAGAAAGGCAGGATGCGAGCTCAACTCCTGCTTCCATGTCTTCAAGCTTACTACTTTAGTAGTATTTAACTGCCAGTCATTCATTAACAAGGACAGTTGCACTATAAAATGTATTTTTATAAACTCTGTAAGAATTCCAGCAGATAAGGTTTAGTGAATTTTAAAGTAAACCAGTTAATAGTGCTAAAAGCAAACTTGTACAGGCGAAGTCTGTTAGCATAAAGAATAATTACAATAGTTGCTGAGTTCATTTTGAAAAGCAAGAAATATCACAGCTATATACCTAAACTGTGAATCCTAAAAAAGCTTATCAAACTCTCCAAGGATAGTATGCTATAGTACCAACATCCACTTATTTAGAGTTCTTTTACCATTTTTAATCCACTGAAGCTGGAATTATTTTATGGCATAAGGAAAATCAAATCATCATTGTGATTTACCAAATGCTAGTTGATTCACTGTAGCCCACTACAGCATGACAACCCAATGCCTTGGCATGGGATTTTATCTCTTGTCTGATTTCTGCCCACCACGCATCTCGTGTCTCTGGTTCATCTGAAAGACAAAGTATAAATCAGTTGACTAGGCTGTAGCTACCGTCGAGCAGCATGTTATTAAAGTATAACAGACACACTCTATTAAGTGGTTGTTTTAATTTTCAAATTTCTGTTGTATTCCCTCACATTTTGAAATTATTTCTTTATTTACTTAGATTTATATTTTGGTTATTGATCAAAAGTCATCATAGCTGGTTTATTTAGTTCCTTATCAATCACCAGTTAAACAGGTTTTGTCAAATTACTTGTGTTCTTGCTGTTGTTCCAAAATTTTATCCACTTGAGGGTCATGCTGTTGGGCAGCCAAAAGCCTGAGGATTGTACCTCATTTGCATAAAACAATGAAGATTGAGTATCACTCATTTTAAGCTGCTGTGAAATCTTCCAGTAATAGCTTTTTTCTCCTGTTAACTACATTTTTGTGTTAAGAAGTATGTTACAACTTTGACAGTTTACCTCATCCCATTTTCAAACCAAAGCAAAAGTGTGAATTCAAATCATTTTAAGTGTTAGGCTACTAAATTTTAAAAAGTATTAAATAAAGTGATGTCTATTTCTACTCATTATCACTTTTCCCTTCAATTCCAATATCATCAAAAATGTGATAATAGTTTTTAGAAGTGCGTTATTCACCAAATTAAATTTATTGCTTAACATAAAGCAAAACCATTAAAAAATACAACACAATATACTTCTACAAATATTACAAATGCATAAATTCAGTAATGCTAGTAAAATGCTTTTACCCACTTCTTTTAAATAGCAAAATAACATACTTACATATACATCTCTACAAAATTTAAAACACTAATTTGGCACATTCTTCACAAACTAAATAGTGTAGTGAGTTTGAAACACTACTCTGTTTTTTCAAAAGTGGTCAGCTGCAGCATATATAAATAAAAATTATTTAAATGATATTGGCAAATAAAATAGGATTTAAAAAAACCCAAGGCAACCAGATGCTACAAAGGAATTTGTGTAGGTGGGCCCTCATGGTCATAAAATTCCACTGAAATCAACAGAATTTTGGGCAGACCTTGGAAGACCAGGATTTAAAATGCTAATTAAGAAAACTAAGGCATATTTCGAACTGTTAAGACATACTTTTAAGCGTAGTATGGCGTATACATAGACATCATACACAAATGCCATATTTACTTGCATAAACACAGAAACATGTTTCCCCCCAAAATTAGCCTTCCAAAATTAGCATTCCCACCTTAACTAGGGAGACTGACATTTCTACCCAGAACAGAAGCAATGAGATTCTGTAAGATGGCTACTGCTTTTCCTTCTCTTCCCCGCCAGCAGTTGCATGGAGACAGGCAAAATCTGG